TCTTGAACAACTGATTATCTGGTAAACGAAACCATCACAAATAAAAGGCTCTACTGATACATATGCAAACTAAATTAAAACCACTGACTACATTTCATTTTAATTGTCACTCTTTCTTCCATAATAGTTTATTCTTAAATATTTGGGGTTGTCATTGAAGAAAAAATAAATTTCTATCATCTTTATTTAGTCTGGTTCTGATGTGAAAGAATGAAGTGGTATCTCTGAGAGTTAAGGATTCTTATTCTTAATAAATAAATTGTCTGATAAGCAATCTTTCTGGACCATGCCATTTTTCTCTGCATGCCAGGCTTAATTATGACTTCCACAAAAGAAAGGAAGCAGTATGAGCACCAAAAGTGTCACTGGGAGAATTAAAGCAAGGTTTATATAATCTGCCCTTCCTTTCCATGTTCTTTGTCCTCTTTGCTCTAACACAGCAATATATAAAGTTGATGGTGAAAGACTACCTCAGTCTTTTATCAATGCTACCCACTGTAGTGGAAATCTCTAACAAAAGCTTTTTCCTATAATCTCATTTCCTTTAAGGTCTACCAGATGAAAAGTTCTCAGAATTCATTCATGATTGTTTGAAACATGTTTGCTTTATAATAACAAATGGTAATAAGTTCCCACTAATGCTATTCTTGGCACTGTTAATCAGGTTAATTTGCACATTTCTCACCCTTTCCAAAAACTGAATCACCGCTTCCTTTTTGACTTCTACTGTGTTATCCAAATGTTCAAGCCAGAGTTCAAGTTCTTTCCAGGTGTAATCAAATACTCCACTGTCGTGCAAAACCTGTTAAGAAACAATAATCATACAAAGCTTTTGCTTGCTTATTTTTGCACAGCAGCTCTTATTCTGGCTGCTTGGTTTAAACAAAAACAGCAGCATATAGGAGTGTGGTTTTTACCTTAGCTTTTAAAATAAAAACCTCATATTTAAAAACATACTATATTTAAAGGACATAAATGTTACATAAAAGACTGTTGAAAGTACATAAGCCTACTGTGACCTGGTGTGCACCACAGGACAGCCCACCGTTGGTTAATTTACCTTAGGTGGCATTTTTGCATGTCATCTCATGCCCGCCTAACAGCCAGCGTTTCCCTGGGGTTTGGACAATCATCAAATAACCCATTACCTTTTTTAGGGCTATTTAAGGATTGCCTCTGACCTGCATCACATGTCCTGACAAGCTGCTGGCCACAATGGGTTGTTGTGTCATATGATCCTGAAGCACTTTCTGCAGACTGGCTTATTATCCACAAACAAGCAACCATGATAACTCCTGGCTTGTTCAAGGGCTTGTTCAAATTTCATCACAGGTTGCTGGAATTGGTTACAGAGCTGCTTGGCAGGCGTGACAAAAAATCCTGTGCTATTTGCTTTTCACAATCTCACCACTGCTGTCAAAATGGTAGTTTGAAATACTTATTCCCAAGCTTTTTAAAAAAAGGATGCCTCAAGAGTGTGTAACTGGAGTTGTACCATCAGAAGTAGCATCTCTAGGTGCACTCTTACTGCTGTCAATACATGTAGTCTTCCCTGGTCAAGTTCCTTGAATGGTTCAACTGTCAAAAGGAGCACTAAGGTGCAGGAGCAAACATACAAAGACACTGATGAGACAAGGCTAATTTGTACACAGTTAAGAAGGACTGGGGCAAAATAATAATAGAGTAAAAGAGGAATCCAGCAGCACAATTAAGAAGTTCCAAAGGAATCCAAGGCCTTTTAAGCCTTTTTTAAGCCTTCCTGCACCAAAGGCAGGAAGACTGAACAGCTGATCAAGCAGGATTGCAGCTCATGTTACATAAACCTCACAGGCAGGAAGATACCATCTCATCCCTCTTTTTCTTAAGCCTTGAACTTCCATCCCACTCTCCAGCTACTCCAGAAAGTTTTAGGGATGTGTGAGGAATCCATCAGATTTCCTTAGCTCCCTGGACTCTGGCCCACTTTCTTTCTGCCCTAAGTACACTTCATGCTAAGCATTTGTATGGACATCTTACAGAAAGCAAGTTCAAACAGATTTCTGCTTCCACACATTCAGCTTGTGGGTTTTGTGTACTCTGTGCGAAGAATTCTATAATTTGCAAATTTTGCACAAAGAATTACATACTTTGCACAAAGATGAAGCGTTCACCATCTGAACCTCAGTTTTGCTCCCTTCCAGACCAGGGAAGAAGTCCAGTATGCACAAGAGAGCCAGCTTCCACCTGATCTTCCCCTCTCCTGTAGAGATATTAACTCCCCACCACCTCCTTTTGTGGCTTCTCTGTGGAGCTTCTTATTGCTGGGGTTACTGTCCTGACAGTTAAAAAATAGAAGGCAGCCGCATGGGACAGACCCCAATTATGACCCCCCCCCCACCAAAATGAATACTATAGGGGAAATAACTGGAGAGTGGATGGGGGCATGGAAAGAAGAAGAAAAAAATGCAAAGTCCCCTGGGATACGTGCCATAACAGTCTGAAGGGCTGAGAGGAAGAACCCATGGCAATTCCAATCACCTGCAAGGCACACTCTAAGCAGGGATGGCTTAGAATTGTGTGCGAACCTGCCCTGTTTCTCCCTCTTCACCATTTTCCTTTAACTACAGCAATCCAAAAGGCCAATCTGATAGGAGGCTTCCATACTGACTCCACATCAAAATTTTGAATAACTGAACAGTTAAAATCAACATGGAAGCACAATCACCTGGAGACTGTGTACACACAAATCCAGGTTTTACATGTTCAGTCATCCAGCTTGGATGGAGTAGCACACATGCAAACAGGTTTTGGGCATGCTTTCCCCGCTGTCCAATAACCAGGGTGGTACATGTGTAGCTTCATACAAGCTGCAATCTTATCACTCAGCTGCTCAGAAAAAGGACAGGTGGGGGGGTAGATTTAACCCTTTCTATTGCCCCCTCATTGCAAAACAGCTGATCAAGCAGGATTGCAGCTCATGTTACATAAACCCCACAGTGGCTGCTGCTTAACTGCCAGAAACAAGAGGACAGGAAATTTGCTACCCAAATATGCATCAGAGATATGGGTCCTTTCTGCAGCATCCACGCTTGCAGGTGTGCACGTTGGTGGGGGGGGGGATTACTCCACTCTTTTTAGCAGAGGAAGTACCTCTCCCTGCTAAAATGTGATGGTCATTTTGCAGGGCCAATATTTTTCATAAAAGGCACTGGCCCTGCCCCAGCTGACTACTCCGTTCAGTCTTAGTAAACTTTCTGCGTCAACATACTGATGCTCAGTCTGATCCGACAGCTGTGCAAATGTTACATTTAGATTTGTTAAACAGTCTTGCTGTCAGTGTTCAATTGCTCTTGCCCCTTGTAAGCCAAGGCAGGCATTCATGGCCTGACACTTTCAGACTATGCAAACAATGGCTACTGAAGGATGGCATGCCATGAAACAAAACTTGGCATTTGTGGAGCCCACATGGTGGAACACTTCCCACATTATTTATTGTTTTGTTCTCTATGTATACAAATCCCAGAAAAGACCAGCTAACCCCTTTCCTGAACAAGACAGCTGATAGGACTATCCATTAGAAACTGGAGTGTAATTGTGAATACAAGACAATAAATAAGAAAATACTCTCATTTGAGCTGACAGATGTTAAAGTAAGGTGCAGTTTATCAAAGTAAATGTTACATGTTGTCCTGGCAATCACTGAGAAGAAACTTTGGATCATGACTTTTATTTGGGCAACTCTTTTAATTCTGTCTTTATTTAAATATGTATTGCACTTGTTATGACCTTTGGTTGAGAACAAGACTGACTGATTCTTCCTAGAAAAAATGCATTAGCAGTCTTAATGGGGGAAAAAGCGAAGGAAAGGCAATTTTTTAAGAAGACCCTGTAATATTTCTTTTTCATTGTATTAAGACTGGAAACTGTCTGCTTTAATTAAAATATTAGAAATTTGTAGCTAGCAATAGCGGAGAAATTAATCTGGTTGCATTTTAATACAAACAACAGTTTGGACTTCCTGAACTAGTAGACAATCTGGAAACCAATTATCCTTCAATTTTTCATATTTCTCTGATTTTTGCAGTGAAAAAAAACATGTAAGAAAAATGTAACCATTTCTCCAACTGTATACATCTTGTATACATTTCTCCCACTGCATGTATTAAGAGAAAATACATATACTAGTATAAATATGTAGAAATACATATGATAGTGTGCATGCACAAACCAGAAAGATGTTCACTTGTTTTGCTAGCTTCTATGGCATGTTCAATGTCAACAGCTTTTCTGTGGGCACAGACAATAAAACTTTAATAATACAAAAGCTCACCTTAATGATCAGTTTCTTTGTTGATTTTTTGAACTGTGAATGGTTGCTTGTCACAAACATTTTCATCAATAAATAAAACACTGATCGTTCACCGCAAACCTTCTCAGCTTCATCCTAGAACACATTTTTATTTGTTATAATTGATAAAGATGTTCTGAGTCTCTCCATAGATATGGAAGCTTAAAACCATGTACTGATTGCCAAGTCCTACAATTGAAGCCTGTGTTTGCAGAGATGAAACTACAGAAATCTAAGTCAAGAACTTCCTATATTTAGTCTGAATACTAAAAGCAACAATAGTAATTTTGATTCAGAAGAAACATTCTAAAATTTCCATTTACATAATACACTTATAAGACCAATCAACTAAGCAGTATTTTGAAATCTGCTGAATTTCTCATGAGAATGAATAAGGGAAGCAGTTAGAAGAGGAGAGAGGTAAAAGGCTAGCTTGATGCTGAAACCACAAAGCCTGCATTTAATCACAGCATGCTAAATAGAGATTTAGCACAATGTGTATGAAGAAAGAGATGCAATAAGCACTAAGCTCACCATGCTAGTATTGCCCCATTTCATGGACGGGGAAAGAAGAGTTTATAAGCTCTGGAATAACAAACTGGTTAACCCTAGCTATGGTGCTTTTCAAACAAGCTCATTTCAAACCATGGTCAGTTTTAACCAAAATTCCAGGTCTGGTCAACAAAACAAATTGTGATTAACTGAAAGCAGAAGTCTAATCTTCTGAACTTTTCTCACCTGTATGAAAGCAAAGGGGGAAGGTGTACAAACACAAAGCTTTATGTGCCTCATCAATGACCTGCTAAATCAGATTTCAGTGTGATGTCCTAGTATACCCATAGTCTCAAATTGCAGGTGGAAACAGGAGTTGCCTTACGGGTGCTATGCAGGTTTCAGGTTGTATATAGGAAAACTGGGATAAAGAAGCAAGTTTAAAAAATAGAGGAATCAGCTGTCATTTGCTTCTTTGTAACAACAATCCTAGATGCAGCCTAAAACTTGTATAGTACCCTGAAGAACATAATCAAGTATGCAGTTTCCACTGACATTTGGTTCATCCTAATAAAAGTAGTGCCCAGCTGGTTTTTGTAAATTACTCTGAATACTTATGCATCTACCCATAATCCTCTCGCCTTCATTCAACACCTCACACAAAGAACAATCTTCTTGATCCGTTTTTGAACCTCCAAAACAAGTTTGTACACTGAATTAAGAGCAAAGCAACATTATTGTTTATCTAGTATCCTAGTCATTTCACTTTGTACTCTTTCATTTTAGACAAATCCACTCCAAAGCATACAAAAGAAAAAAATCATACCCTTGTTAAACTTGAAAGAATAAGAGTAGATTCTCTAGAGGTCTTTCCTACTCCTTGCAAATGTAAAATAATAAAATCATCTCTCCCAGTGCCAGCTTTCAGAAGGCAAGGCCTTCTGCAGTTAATCAAGAAGAGGTTCTCTCCATTCTTCTCTTCAGAAAATAACTCTAACCAAAAGAGGACAATGCCAGTGGGGTGAACCTGGATAAGCCTATTATTTTAAAAGCTAGTGACATTGCCCAGTATTCATGATTTTTAACAAACAGTTTAGTCTTATCATCTCATATCTACCACATATTCTGGATTATGCTCCTATCTGCAGAAGCAAAGTCCTCCTCCTACATGATGTTAACAGAACTGCCAACATGAAATACTGGCTTCCCTTAAGGATAAGGCATAGTCATAGGAAGACTAACAAAATGTAGAGGATAGCACACAGCTGAATGTAAAAAAACAATAGAAAAACACTCCTATGTACATAATACACACCTGTATTTTGAACCAGGAAAACTTGTTTGCTGGCAATTCCAGAGCCACTTGGAGAATGTGATGCTGTAAAATTGGAGGAATCTCTTGTCGCAGCCCTTTTTCAGTAACGATACCTGTATGTTATGTTGAAAATGGTATTAGGAGCATGTTTACTCTCTGGAAAATACAGGGGGTGCCAAATATATATACACATTTTAAGAGATGTTATCTTTCTATTACTTTTGAAGCTGAATTATGGTAGCAATGCTACCATATTTTCCAGTAGCGTTATAAAGTTCAATCAAAAGATGGTGTTAATCAAATGAAGGCTAGCGTCACCATGTGACAGTTTTTAATAGTTTTTTTCTTTCTTAAAACGTCTATATATATTTTTGGCACCCTCTGCATTATTTAATTCGGCTGGGAGTGCAACTGACATGGGTGCAGCTACAGAAGGCTTATTGTAGAATAAAATGCAGATTAGAAAACTACAAAAAATGCAAATACATAGTATATAAAGGAGATGTTTTTAAGGCACCAGGAAAAGATGACCTGGAAAACAGAATGTCCTTTTCCTGGTGCCTGCAATGGATTGAAATAGGATAAGGTGAGCCTTCCTGAGGAGGCAGGGCTTCACACTGAAGATGCCCCTTAGTCTGCCAGACTGAGGCAGTACCTAGAGGAAGGTACTTCAGATGACCTTCCCACACCTTAGATAAAGGTGTGGGAACAAGCTCTCTTTCAAATATCCGCATTCCAAGCCATGCAAAGCTTTAAAAATAAACACCAGTGCTTTACACTATGCCCAAAAAGGGACCAGGAGCCAGTGGAGTACTTAGGCATCAGTAATGTATGTCCCCAACACCTGGTTCTAGTGAGAAACTTCAGTTAGATTCTGGATTAACTATAATTTCTGTTTGCTCTTCAGACTAAAACACATTGTAGTACCTAGTTTAAAGTTAAGCACCCCCAAATGCATGTACAAATGCTGGCTACTAAAGGGTGTAATCCTATGCACATTTAAACAGAAAAAAGTCCTACAACTCCCAGCAATGTTGGCTGAACCATGCAGCAATGACCTTTTCGAATGACCCTTTTCTGTCTAAATGTGCACAGGATAGCACCCTAAGAGACAGGAAAAAACCTGTTAAATGAGTGGGCAGTAAGTGGCAACGCGTCACCCTGAACCAGCATCTTGCAGCATGACAGATGCACCAACACTTTGTAGTCTGTGGTAATTTTACCCATAACTTGAAGCAGAACACTTCCTATAGTCGTCGAAGTACAAGGATCTTCAGGTAGGTCCAAGCCTTGCAGCTGAGATATTATTAGAATACTAAAATTATTGCTTTAATATGGGATGGAAGGCTTGTGCTGTAGTCCACTGTAGCTGAGATTTTAACAGCCCTTTCATGTTTGAACAAGAGGAGACATTACTGCATCTCTCCATGTTTGGAAGCACTTTTTTCTGCTTATTTGTTCATACTAAGTTGTAGCTAGGTCAGGAAGTAGGTTGGGATTCTTTCTTGTCTTCTGAAAACCTTAAGCCCCACTGATCTCAGAAGGTCTGCTAGAGCAGGGGTGCAAAACCTGTGGCCCAGTGGCAAGAGGTGGCCATCCAAGATCTTTACTGTAGCCCCCAGAAGAGTGCCCTGACTTGGTGATCACTGGAAAACCCATTACCCCCATCAACTTCTCACTGTCTAATGTTCTCCACTCCCTCCCCAGGAGATCTTAATCTTTTTGCCATTGCTAAGAGAAAGGAAAGCATTATCTGTATGAAAATCGCTGATGTGAGTGTGCATATATGTGTGCAACTCCCTTGGGGCCAAAAGGTTATGCATTCTTTGCACGAGATCATATGGTATGCATATGAGACCTTACATAAGCCTCAGAATTCCACATTGTCTGAAGCAGTCTGAGTTATACTTTTGTTTGAAATGCATTTGGTTTTTTGCTTCCAAAAAGGTTTCCTTTTAGCTCTGACCTATGTTCAGTACATAGAATTTTAAAGGAAAAAACATGGCTACTTTTATTCAGTGAACATGAATGCTTGTCCCCACCACCTTGAGATGAAATCTATGTTTCTAACCTCACAGTGGCAGAGCTAACTATGACCTGCTCCTCTGATTAATAACAGCACTGTATGCAGAAATAAGCAGGGGAGGGGTTCTAATTATAGAAATGTGTGGTACTGTTTGCTACCATTTGCAAATTAATGTTTAAGACACAACTAGAATAGACTGTGACCATCTTGCATCATATATTATCTGGTTCTTTTAGCTGGAGACGCCATGAACTGAACTCAAGAATACTTGCATGCAAAAGTAAGCACTCTTCAATGCATTCCTTAGTCCACAGCTTTAAATATACTGAGAATTACCTTTTATCAATTTGCTAAAATCAAAGTTGCTCTGTGCCACCAAGTGGGGAACAGCTTGCTGATAGAGGCATATAACATGAAGTAAAACAGCTTTCAAAAGCGTGGTTTCTGCATCATCTGAACCTAGAAAAGACGTAAAATATATTAACAGATTTTTTGATCACAAAACTTGAAAACAAATCCTCCCTAATACAATTATGATAATATTATTAGTTTGCTCTTATAAACATAGAACAATCCTGAGCAATAGTGACCAGGTTTAAAACATAATCAGGGTAAGCCATAATTGTGGAGCTCTACGTATATATTTGTCAACCTAATCCTGACAGCCTTCTTCTGGCACTGCAACCATCATCAGTACTGTTGCATTAACAGAGGACAGAAACTGCCTGTATAGTCAAACACAAATGCAAAGATGATGGGATGTATAGATAAGGAAGGAAATGAGGTGGTAGAATTATTTCTGCTCCTCCTTTCACAGGCATTTCACCCCCTTGCTGCAAAAAGGAGGGGAGGTGGGGTGGGGGTTAAGACTCAGATGGTGCAGATTTGAATAGCTCCACTGGCCTGCCATGGGAAGCCACTTCAGCTGCCTTGCTGTGAGCTTTTCTTGTGGAGGAGTTGGACAGGATAGGGCTGTAACTTGACTTGCAAAACATCTGCAGTGCCAATGTTAATGCTGCATTTTGCATCCAATACAATCTTGGCAATGGCAGCATATGCACAGCCTGGAGGTGTCATGGGATCACTCAAGAGGCTTCTTGAAAAAGGAGTTCAGTTTTCAGAATGTAATTAAATGCCACTGAAAGCATCACTCCTCCAGGTGGTCATTAACAGAGTTTTGTGAAAGAACAGAACAGAGCTACCATGAATCATCAGATATGAATCATTAATAGCCACTGCTCTCATACACGCTGGATGACTAAAGTCTTCCTACCATGCTCTCCATTTGCTTCTTTTTCTTCAGCCATTTCCTCCACAATAGCAGCAGCATCTTCTGCTTTCCCCTTCTGTCCCTCTTGTTCCTTCTCTTGCTTTAAAAGTGACTGCCAGACAGCTACTATATTTGTCATATCCGGTAAGAGCTAAATTTTTAAGCAAGACTGGCATCAGTTAATAAATACTATTATAACATTCTTTCGACATCAGACTATGGCTATGGAGAAATACAGGAGAAAAGATAGAACATCTCTTACAAAGTCATACACAAACTTAGCAATGTAATCCATTAGCTTTCTGGATTACAAAGTCAGAGGAACAGTTATTGCTATGGAAGAATTACTTCCATTAATTTCTCAGCTGCTCAGGCCCAGTTTAAATATATTGGCCTACAGTGATCAATTGCCAATGCATCATCTGTAACACATGTATTTCGAAGTACATTTCATTTATTTGAAGGGTTCCCAAAAATGTTCTTTTAACAAATACTAAGCCCTCAATTCAGATATTCAAAGCTAAGAGGTTTCAGTTTTAGAAAAATGGAAAACCATTACTTCCCCTCTAACAGTACAAGAGTATCATTCTGTTCAGTGGAATCAAAGATGTCTTGGCAGAAAGGGACTTGACTGACTCCGCAGGTTTGGAGATATTCTCAATGGGGTGAGCAAGAGCTGGATTAACTCTGGGTGGATTAACCCACAAAGAACCCAGAATTTTTCAGATTCATACCCTGTGGAACAACCCAGTTCCTGGGCTACCAATTGAAAGCAGAATTGACAAGCTCATTGCTCCATTCATTCATTCATTCAAAATATCTCTTGGCTCCCTTCAGAGCAGGAGTTCTGCTCTGAGACTGTATACAACAATCAAACACACAATAAATACCAATACAGAAATAAAAGCAGTAAAAACAGTAACTGGAGCACACAGTCTAAACAACCAAGCGATTGTCACCATGATATGTGAACAAGGCCTTCAGAATACTGCCTGAAATGTCAGTACAGTTCCCTGAACTGACTTCCTTGTGCCTCTTCAGGCTTTCATATGCAGATTTCCAAGGTTCTATTTTACCTTGTCTGCTAATGACTTTTATTAGCCAGGCACATCCTAAGTGCCACAACTCACATTACATCTGTCTGTTAAAAGGAAAAAAATCCGTATTTCCAGGATTTAGAAAAACAGGAAGAGATCCTGAACATACTAACATAGTGTCTGTTCTAGAAACTGCAATTTGATACCATTCAGTTGTTTTGCTTCATACCTTGCTAAGTGCTTCCCTGTACTGCTGTACAAATTCCTGCATGACCGATGGAGTATAGATTTCTGATTTCTCCCATATCTTCTCAGTAAGACAATACTCAATGTTTTTCAATGCTCTTTTCAGAATTGTTGATATAAGTGAAAAGATTGTGTGTTTCACTGTTTTACTGGCTATCTACAATAAAAAATAAACAGTAAATTTACTTATAACAACCTACTGGAAAAAGAGAATTCACTTAAACCTAGGCCAGAAAAGGTGCAAAAAGGGAGGGAGGGCCATCAAGGTGACCAAAATTCAGAAATGGTGCTTGAAGCAGAAGTACTCTAAGATACTTCTAATGTATTTCAGCATATTACTTTCTTCATGGACATTAAGGCCCAGCTAGTTTGTAAATATTATTTGGTAGTTGGAACCATTCAGGAAGAAGTGAGTGCACGGTTTCCTGATCATTTGCTACTTCTACTTCATTTCTAGTTTAGAAAACAATCCCAGGAAGGGCTCTTGGTTTTTCTCTGTGACATGCAAACTTGCAACTCAGGATTACTAAGGACGGAGCAACCCAGAGCTTTAACCCAATGACAAACCACAGAGTCAGGCAGCCCAGCAGAATTTACAGAAGTAACTGCCCTATCTCATTATATAAATGAACATTATTATTCACAATAAGGCTGTATTCACATATGCTGAACAACAGTTTAGCGCTATAAAAATGAGCCTATGAAAGACGGAGGCTCATGTATTCTTTCCCTTTCCCCTGCCCCACTCCTGTGGCTGTGAAAAAAGACAGCAAGCCTCTAACTCAGTTTTTGATTAAGCACAATTGAACATTACATCTGAACTTTAAACTGTAGTTATACTTAGAATCACACAATAGAAGAGCTGTAAGGGGCCTATAAGAAACTCTGCTCCCATCCCCTACTCAAAGCTAGCTTGTTTTAGTTAACCATGAATAAAACTAACTGCAGTTTGGATAGGATTAAATATAATGCTAAACTGGGATTATCTGAAAATGGAAACTTTGTAACTCTTCCCTGGAGCCACATTGGAGAAGTGGTCATGGAAGCATGTGAGCATTAGGATCATGCAGGCTGCATATGCATTTCTGCAACAACTATACATTTCTGTAAAAAATGCACTTTCTTTCAAAGTTGTGTCAACAAGGAGAATTTAGGGGAAGAGCCCCCCTGCCACCACCAGCAATTTAGAGTATAAAAAGTTCTTACATTTAATCCTTGGGTGAACATTGCCTTATTACACACTGCTGGGATGGTTGTGACCAACACCATTGAAAGCAATCTAGGAAGAGGAACAAATTCTGTGGTTTTAAAGGCACTGGAAACCTCAGGTTGAGCCTCATAGATCTGAAATTTTAAAAGAAAACACAACTATTTTTAGACAGTACTGATGAGTCCATGGCCACCGCAACCAAGTCAGCTGGATTTATAATGACAAAACAGTTCTAAATGCCCACTAAGTTAAAGGGCTGAAAATGGATGCCAGTGAAAGAGGAAAAACATTGATTGTTATAATTCAATTAAGACAACCTAATAATTATAGAGTTTGGAAAATAATAGTGCTCTACAAAGTCACTAAAAGTAGTATTTATTTTCCAATTTATATCCTGCCTTTTTCCTACAAAGGGCTCAAGGCAGCTTATATCTCCTCCTCCATCTTATCCCCACCACAACAACCCTGTGAGGTAGGTTGGGCTGAGAGTCTGTGACTGGCCCAGAGTCACCCAGTTGGCTCCATGGCTGAGCGGGGACTAGAACTCAGATCCTCTGACTCCCAGTCCCACGCTCTTAACCACTACACCACACTGGTATTCAAATGCTAGACCCTAATGGGCGTTCTCCTTGATCTGGAAACCAATCCAGGCCTGTAGGTCGGAGCAACAGCAGTAATAAGTGTTCCTGCCCTTAGAAATAGTGTCCATGTGGGCTAAGAAGGGCACACAAAGGGGGCACTTGCATGTCATGCTAGCCTGCCCTGGTGGTAAGCCACAAAGAGTTGGTTCTTGTACAAACAACCCATGGTGGGCCCTGACAGATAATCAGGCTTACTGTTGGTTGCTGACCCCCATTTGCCCTCGCATAGGTATTCAAGGGAACACCTTGGGATGTGTCCTTTCACCCCTCCCCACTACCATGAGCCATTTCAGGCTTGGCTACAGCTTTTTATCCTTAAAAAATGGTTTGTGGGGTGAGATTGTGAAAACTCTATCAAGTTTGAGAGTTCATAATCCTCCTTTTGACAGCTATGAGCAGTCCCTTCCAAGTGTCTCAGAGGGGGCCCGTCCATGGCTGCCCTGAATTCTTAAAACAAACAAATAAATAAAAATGCATACATAATGGTATGCACTAAGTAATTTTTAAAATAAAATTTAAACGTACTGTGCAACTGCATTATAATCAAAACACTGCCACTGAATTTCTTTACTGTAAATAACAATCTCTAAGAAAGATATTACATTTACATTTCTCTAAAAATGTGCTTTGCCACTTTCATGATTTTTTTGCAAGCACTGATAAAGACTGAGTTGCAGAAATTCAGGAAACAGCAGGAAAGATAATCATATATTTGCTGCTATTTAATCACATGTTTTGCATTAATACTGTTTTCTTTCTAAAGTACTCAGTGGAGATAACAGCAATTAAGCCCACAAAAGGCACATGGACAAACTTGGCTACCCTTATATTATCAGCTAGAGTCCTGTGTATTGTCAGAATAATTGATATACTTCACAATGGCTTAGACTGGTACACCAACTATCTCCTATCTGGACATCTATCTGGAGAGGCCCTGTCTGGCTAATTTCCCTCAATTATTTGTGTTCTGGAAGCATCGTATCCAGGTTATGCTTAATTCATGCTATATGAGACTGCCTTTAATGATGGCTTGGAAACTTCAGTTGGTACAAAAGGTGGCCAGCAGAGTACTGGTTGGGGGGCTTAGCGGTCACATGCTGCATAACTGACTACAGTATTAATAAGCATCATTTAATCAAATATGAATTTGCAGAATGCATAAACAAGTCCATCACGCAAAGCCCCGCAGCAGTTTTCTATATTCAGGGCACAAAATGGCAACAAGGTGATGGACAGATGTGATTAGTTTCTGGTCAGATCTATTCATAAGCGTGAGCAACTGTTTGGATATTACTTAACAAGTCCCAAACTCTCTCTCTCCTCTTAAGAAAATAAATGACTTAATCTATATTGACTTTATTAGATTTCAGCATCTTTCAGATGCTATTAGAACAGAAGTCCATGCATTCTTTTCAAGGGCAGATGGGGAGGGAGACAGAGAAATACCATGTTTTGACAAATGCAATACACGCATATTATTTACTCATATGGTGACATGTGGGAAAACAGCAAGAGTATTAAAGATTGAGATTGCTCCATAGTAAATGATGCCTGAAGAGGTCCTTAATTGAAGTAATCCTTTAACTAATCCTCACCAAATATAACTGCATGTTAATTTCCACGTAAATTACTATGATCTCAGTAACAGCAGAAATGTTGGTAAGGGCCATTTTCATGTAAAAATATATGCTTGTACAGTGTTCTTACCTTCCTCAGCAATTTCATATTGTCTAGCCAAGCAGATTTTAGTCTGGGAACAAAAGAATACTGAGACTCCTTAAAGTATCTGTTCAGTAAATCTGGGCACACTTTGAAAATGTTCACCACAAGTTCAGCAACCATTTCATCTTCTACAGCAGTCTTTAGACTTAGGAGAAATCGCAGAAGCACCAAGTTCCCTCCTCTAAAGACAGTTTTGAAAGCACAATCACTGACAGTTTACAATTAGAATACAAAAGCAAATGTGCACCTGGATCCCAAGAGGTAACTTAGGCAGATACAAGAACACTAAATGGAACTTTTGACTTTTTCCTTTGACAGTCAGCTCCCCATCCTTTTCACCAGCTGCCTTGCAAACCTTCCTCAGTTTCAAAAGAGCTGTGCCATGGAGCATGGGGAGCTGCAATTCAAGGAACTAAAGCCCAAAGCTTCTTCAGCTAGTGATGTGGTTGCTGGGAAGCAGGCCAGCATTATAACAGGTCTAAACCCTGCTCCCTTGCTTTTGCCAGAGGGAACTTAAAACAGTTTCATATGCCACTGAAATTACAGGATTTTAATCTAATTTAGGCACTTCAGTTAAACAAAATTAGCAACGCATATTTATTCCATTTCAGTTGCGAAAAACAGGAGCCCATTCAGGTGCTCAAAAGGGGTTAAAATCAATGCGTGAGAAGGAGCGCTCCAGCCTCATTCCTCTCCCTTGTTGTGTTTGTCATCCTCAACCCATGGAGGGCAACAGTTTGAAGAAAAGAGCCTCCTGTATCCATGGAGACTCCCCATGTGAGCCAAAATGCAGATTTTCCAGTGTCCTGGCTCACATGGAGACCCTCCACAGATACAGGAAGTTCTCATCTTCAGACTGCTGTGCACCATGAATCGAGGATGACAAGCCCAACAAGGGAGCGGCTGGGGTTGGAGCATTCCGCTTCCTTGTGTGTTGATTTTAACCCTGTTTTGAAGCCCTGAATACGGTTAGCATCAGCAGGCAATCTGAATCACTGGGATGACAAATAGCCTGGATACTGTGCAAACTAATTATGCATGATATGTCAGTCCTTCAAGGTCAAGAAATTCCACGTTGGATCCAGACTTAGTCATGCTTCAGATCAACCTACTGACATCAGTGTAACCTAAGTTACTCCTAACTAGCTTAATTCCCACCGATTTAAGGGGGTCTACTTGCAGTATGACTCAGTCTGGATCCAACTCCATATATTCATACTCACCTTTTAAGCTCAACTAGCTTTCTATTTTCAGCTTTTCTCTATAACCATACAATACACAAGACCATTACTAAAATAAGACTCTAGAGGAAGTAAAACTTTCTCCCACAGAGGGCTACTGCCTGCACATGTACAAAAATATCTCACAGCCAAAGGCTAACACTGCACACAACTTTCAGTAAGGAAGGCTATCATATGACAGCTGCACCTGCTTCCAGGGAAATAAGGCCCTGACCACTATTCTAAGTTTAAATCAAAAAACAGATTCTCACAATTATAACAAACAATGTTGCCAAAACAGGGTCATGCTCAGTGCATCACAAGTGGGAATAGATGCAGGTGTATAATCATAGCTTGCCCTTCAGCTATGCTCTAGATGAGGCCAAGACATGGAAGGCTTAGCATACCAACCACTCCCTTCTACATGGAGACCACATGGTGGACACTCACTGCACAGTTCAAAAAAGGAATGCAAGACTTAAGAAAATACTTCAAAGGATTTAGCTCTAAACTGAAGAGCTAGGCAAAAATAATAGGCTTATTAAGCACCTGAATACATTACCTGCCAGATGTGCCAAGGGTTGGATCATAAAAGTTAATGCCATGTTTCAGAGAACAACAGAGATCCATTAAAAACTTATGAACCAGTTCTCTCACAAGTGCCTTTCCTGCTTCTTCAGGGTCCTGGGAAGACTGCAAAGAATGGAAATATTAAAATAATTTATTAGTGTTGATTTACTCAGTACTCTCAAAAGGATGGGTCCAGAGGGCAGTGGTGGAGCACACGCTTCAAAGGCAGGGGTTCTCCGGTTGTATTCCGGACATTCCCAGTTTAAAAAAAAAAAACAGGCAGCAGACAACATGCAAGGGCCCTGCTTGAGATCCTTGAAAGCAGAGCACACAACTCCGGATAATACTGACTGATCTGGCGCAATGTCCTAGCTGGGGCAAGAATGATCTACACAGAGGCTCTGCTGTATATTCCCTGTAACTGGGAAATAAGGGCCCAGGAGGAGGCCTCCACATGTATGAATACTGACACAGAGCCCTAAGACTAAACTATACTTGGCAGGTTCTCAGAGCAATGCAGAGAAAACAAACATTCCAACCATAGTCAGGGGAACAAAATTGAATAATGAAAGACTTGATCAGTAGTAGGGTTAAATGTGTGGGTTGTTTAACCCTCAATTAACCCATACTGGCTGGGTTCACAAGCCCTGATCAAAGGTCGTATATGCAAAATAGTAGCCACATGCACCAGGGCTAATAGTGAGTTAATTAACTCAAAATAAGCAAACTGGCCCAATAGAATGCTGGTATGCTGGTTCAGAAAGAGAAAATGGAAAAGGGACTGACTCTTTTTCTTCTTCTTTTTTTAGTATTTACAACTGTGTGCACTGTCAGCAACTGCTTATACTGGATAAAACTAAATACCATTTTCTGCAGAAAAGCACAGATGTTTACACTGGGCAAAATAATTTCACCTTACTTTGTGGGGTTGAAATTACCTTTTTGTTTTCCTTCAGCTGATATATAAATTTAACTGTTTCTATTGAAGTTAAGTGATACAGGTACATAGAGAAGGTAAAAGGGAAATGACATACCTTAACATCTTCAGCACTGACATCAGGGATTCCATTCCAGCGATAGAGTGAAGCTATGTGGTTCAGTAATTCTGCAGTAAAAAAACGCACCTTCTGGGTCTTACTGATATTTTTGTTGTGAACTACCTAAAAAAAATACAAGACATATCTTCAAATTTCAAGAATAAAACGGAAAAAATGATGGATTTATTTTGATTGTTTTTATTTATTTGATTTATATCCTGCCTTGTTTAAAGAACTCCAAGAGGCTTACACCATTCTCCTCCTGCTGCTCTCAATCTTATCCCAAGAACAACAACCCCATGAGGCAGGGGTGAGAGTGTGACTGGCCCAAAGTCACCCTGAGCAGGTACCTGAACCCAGATCACCTGAGTCCCAGTCCCATGATCTTAACCACTGCACCACACTATCTCTCTCCTCTATTAACAAAGCAGCATACATAGAAACGTAGAAACAGAGTGAGTCAGAAGAGGCCTCCCAGGCCACCTAGTCTGACCCCTGGCTTCAAGTTCCTCAGGATCAAGTCACAGTATTGGGACTGGCTACAGTAGTAAAGGCAAACTAAATAGTCAGCTTGAGGAAGAAGATGCCTGTACATAAAGTAACTACAGTAGCTATTCACAAAGATGTGCTCAGTTTAACACACACATCCTGACACGGATAAATGGATTAATACCTATAAAGGAAAGAAAACAGTTGTCTTGATTCAAGCCACAGAACACAGAACTGAACTGCTTAATAAACTGATGCTCAAAAGTAGTTTCACATTTTGAAGATCCATTATTCATTTGTGCTATTTTAAGATCCTGGAAGGCTGAATGTTTTCCCACAGCTTTCTGCATGCTTTATTTTTTAATGGAAGCCACTGTGATGTAATAGTTTAGGAGTACTGGACTCGGATTCAGGAGATTTGCATTCAAGTTCACACTCACCCATGAAGCTCACTGGGTGACTATGGGATACTTACAGACTCTCAGCCTAACCTACCTCACAGGTTTGTTGTGAGGATAAAACACAGAAGAGGAAAACCTTGCAAATTGCCTTGAGTTCCTTGTATAAGGAAGAAAAGGAAGGATATGACTATAATGTAATAACAATTACTAAGTTCTGTCTATTTATTCTTTTGTGTAGAGACAAACCTATTTGTCCTTTGCAGAATATAGAAGGTCACTGCTAGAAGATGGGAGACCTACTATAGATGAGCAGTTGAATGACGGCTTGATGTTTCAGCCTTAAAGGGGCCAAAGACTCTTAAGTTGTTTCTGCTGCAACAGACTAATACTGCTACCCCCTCCAGAAATGGAATACTTCACAAACACTTAAGATGAGGCCCTAAGTATCAAGGAATTTATTTTTCCAAACAACATAAACTATTAAGTCTAATTCCTGATTTGCTATCTCACCCTCACCATGCAAAGGATGCAGGTGTAAGGGGTTTAAAACTTGTTGCACTTGGTTTGCAACATTTGTTTCTTGATTGCTTAAAACCTCAGTTAAGCATAAACAAATCACAGGTTCTAGCTTTAAGAGCATACTACGATCAAAGAAAAAGCCATAAAGGAAATGCTGACAAATCCCAAACAACAGCAAAACAGCAAGTAAACACGAAGTGGAGAATCTTTGGAAAACCACAGAAAACCTATTTTCAGCAGTCAAGCAATGCATTAAGGAGAAAGCTATTTTAAGGGTGTACCTTAGTTGCCAATGTGGAGAGCAGAAGACTAATTGTGGATATTCGATCTTCCTTTAGGCCAGTTCTTAAAATATCTGGAATGAAATCTAGAAGACATTTTCAAATGTTAAAACCATGATGCCAAGAATTTTTAACCAAATCAGTTTCATGACGTATTGCCACTGATGAAAGAGTATTTTATTCATTTACTTATTTAGAAAAATAGCATCACCAAAAAACAGCTAAAATATACAGCAAAGAATGACCCTGTCAAAACGCCAGGGGTGCGTAATTCCTTCAAGCCTATGGGTAGTCAAGTAAGTCTTCAAAACCATCATCATAAAGATTCATACTAACCTGGCATCAAAAAGGTAACAAGTTTGGTGCCACACAGGTCCCAGTGGGAAGGTTGTTCCAAACTGGGGGAGGGCACCACAAAGACAGCACTTTGTGGCCACCCTCCAAGCCTTCGTTGGAGTCAGCATTTAGGGGAAGGACCCAGAGGTATCCAAGTAGGCACTCAAGCAGATTCATTATTTCATTCCATTTCTATGCTGCCCCATAACCCAAAGGTTCTCTGGACAGATTACACATGTATTGCAGTCCCAAGCCCTTTGTTTATTTATCAGACTTGTATGCCACCCCATTAGCCATAAGGCTCTTTATAGGTTAACACCAGGACCTTGAATTGGGCCCAGAGGCATAAGGGCAGCCAATGTAAGTGAGCCAAAACTAGTCTTGTGTGTCTAAAGCTACAGATCCTGGTAGCTAATCTGACTGCTGCATTCTGCACAAGCCGCAGCTTCGGCAGCATCTTCAAGGGCAGCCCCATGGAGAATGCACTGCAGTAACCAGAGACTATCAGACTGAAACCAGGCTACCCCTGTCCAGAAAGTGGCATAGCTTGGCAACCAGCCTGCAGAAATACCAACAGTCTTTGAAAAGGTCTCGCTTCACATCTCTTGACAGCTAACTTCCTAGTGTAACAAAACAAAACATGAGTAGTGAGAGCTAATGAAATTAAAGATATGCATTACACTTTAGCTACTTAAGAAACAATACTGACAAAATACCTTTTAACTCCAGAATGTGGGTAAGGATTGTGTTGTCACCAGCAATTAAAAAGGAAAGGGCATATTGGATATATGCCATACGAACATCAGGCTTGCCCTAAACAAATTGTAACAGAAACTAAATGCCAATGCATTTCAACAGTTCTACAACTTATTAAATGAACATTTGAAAGAACAATTGCAATTTTCAACACATGGTTCACCGACAGTTTACAACTAGAGTTGTCAATATATTTAATAAGGCATGGGGGCTTCAGTCATCAGAATCTTTGACTTGCTTTATGGCAGGTTATCTCTGTTTCCACACCAGCCTGGATAAAGGTTTTGCTGGTGGAGACTCCTTGCACAGCTACGAAAAACGCAGACAACACAATTCCCAAGGGATCACTTATTGATTGCAGAAACATGGCAGGAAGACAAACAAACAATCTGAGCTTTTCTGTATATCTGTAACTACACAGGACCGAGGAGGCATCACTGGGACACCAATAAAACTTGTTGCCAGAACCCTCCCTGCACACAGCAAACTTGAATATCGGGAAGACAGACAATCCTATGCATATGGAGACAGAGCTTGCTGGGAACTTTAGGCCTTTTTCTCTCTAAATGTGCACAGGATTGTGCCCTAAACTTTCTTCCTGACACAGCAGCTTTTCAGCAGCAGCTTTCTGATGTGGCTAGCTTTCAGACATGGAGCACCTCCAGGCACAGACCTGTACAATCCGGGGAAAAGCACACCATGTGGTTTTGCTAAATGTCTGAATTAACCCATAGCCTCAATTTGTGCATAGATGTGTGTGCCCACATGTGCATGTGTGCATGCTGTGAAAGCCCCAAAGTGACTTTGCTGCATCATTTTTGGGAGAACACTTTGCATGATTTAGCTCTGATGCAGCTAAAAGGGGGAATGTTAGGTCAGAATGGTAACTTCTGCCCTTTTCAAGGAGTTATTCCATACAAATACTGCACAAAAAAGATGGAATGTAGTAAAATCATAATGTGAAGACCTTTACATCAAGATTGGGAGAAGCATGCACATTCTTCCTCCACTGTGGACCAGTGCACCTTTGAAGCATACATCTATGCTATTCTTTTGGACAGAGCTAACTAGCAAAGGAAAGCACAGGTGGAATTTTGAGAGCGAGCTGCATCAATCTCAGAACAGATGAAGTATCTTGTACTGATACAAACCATTAACCCATTTCTTGTCTACTTCTGAGAATGTGCTGCCATCTTGTTGGACTACAACTCCCATCATCCCTTACTACTGGCTGTGATGGCTACAGTTGAAGTCCAACAATACTTGGGGAGGGCAACAGGTTCCCCACACCTACTTACAGTGACATCACAGATAAAAATACAAAAAGCTCGCTTTGAAACTTCAGCTTGACTCTGAACATCAGAGAAAAGAAACGCTGTTGAGCCATCGCTTACTGCAGACTTCTTTCTCTTACCTTATAATCTCTCCTCTTCACCAAACTAGAGAGGGATTTATTATTGAAATCAAAGTGGCTGTAAATGTCCCTCGCTGCATCCGGCCCCTGTGCCACCATTGCTGATAATAAGGTGAGGCACAGGCGAGCCATTCTGTAAAAACAAAGCAGATGTTTCAACAATGCACCAGCAAACAAAACAATGAAAAATTAAGAAGTGAGAACTGACATTGCTGAAAAAAAACCATGCCATTTTCAGCAGATGCCCTACGGCATGCAGGCACTCTAAATGAAACTGTGTTTGTTTACCGCACAAGAAACACTTCATCCCTCTCAGGTATGGAGATCATGTGTGAACAAGGAATGAACAAATGATAGTGCCTCTAAAAATTAAGGAATGCCAGGGAAGGTGGAGAAAGGGAGTTCAAATTTCCTTTCGTGATGCAGAATTTTAGCCACTCGATTTTTTTTTAATCTAGAAAATGAACTGCTTTCAAATAAAAGATTCTCAAGTGGAGAATCTTCCTACTGTCAAGCTAAGACATAGAGAAGTATGGCGATGTGCAGCCCAGTCCTCTGCATCACACCCACCACCCAGCCTTAGCCAAACTTCACAGTGTCTCTAAGCACTCCCATGCGGAACACTGACCAATGTGAGCAGTCTATTATTGAGCTTTCAGTGCAATTATTACTGAGTTAACCCTTTCTTAAAATGTTTTGCTAAATGAAAAACATGGCCTTTATCATGTGTCCTATGCCTGTATAAGCACCACAATTATGGAAATTCAAAATCTGCAAGGTAGTCAGGCTTTTCACCAACTAAACTGAGAATGCTTTCAAGGCAGTGCAGTTTAGAAGTTAGAGTGTTAGAGTGGGACTCAAGCTGGTGCTGCTACCAAGAAAGCCTGCCATCAGAGTAGACATTCTGCAACATCCCAGTACTTTCGGAGTAACCAGCAAGGGCTCCTCCAATGATCTTATGGTTGGTTGGTTGGTTGGGTAGATAGAAGGGACTGCAGTCCATTAGATATTTTGGTCTTGTTTAGAGCTTTGACAATAATATAAACTTGAACATGCCCTGGTAGTTGATTTGAAGTTATTGCAGTTCTTTTATCATGGCAAATGTTATCATTCATAGCATTATAGATTTGAAGGGACGTTGGAGGTCACTGGGTCTAACTCCCTACTCAGTGCTGAATGTGCTATGCAGGATGCAACTGAGAGGAGGTAATTCTAAATGCAGTATAAAGAGTCTTTTGTACATTGTTCCAAGGTTTGTTCTCAGGAGGAAGCAAGTATGATCACAGTCAATGGAAACTTTGCTTAACTGAGGTTCCAAACAAAGCCAATTTCTGGCTAGCCACTACAGGCTGTACCTTTGGTTTGTAGTGAACTTACCTGTGACTTTCAGAATACAGAGCAGCATAAATTAGTCTCATGTAGCTATTAATCAACTTCTTTACTATAGTCATCCCCACAACACGAAAATGGGACAGATCACTTGCTGTTCGTAGCAAAATGTTTTCTAAAGCTTGAAAGATGAGCAGCATCTGCAACATCGAAATATTTCATTAGATGGTCAAGATAAAAATGGAATACGATCATGTCTTCATTGTAAATCAACTACACTATAGTGTAACAAGAAAGCAAGTCTTGAGATGCAAAAATCTAGCAAGTGCTCAGATTCCATACACATATCTCTTTCATAAAAATCAACTGAAAGTCAGTGTAGCACAGTGGTTAAGAGTGCAGAAGAGGGAGTCAGGAGATCCGGGTTCTAGTCCCCATTCAGTCATGAAGTTCACTGGGTGACTTTGGATCACTCACAGACTCTCAGTCTAACCTACCTCACAGGGTTGTTGTGAGGATAAGATTAAGAGGGAAAGGAGAATGATGTAAGCTGCCTTGAGTTCCTTGAAAGGAAAAAAGGTGGAATATAAATATAATAAATAAACAAACTCTAAATTAGAATACAAAATACAAAGAGAAAATTTGCAGCTAAAAAGCTCCAGACCTGTGATGAGCTTTAGACTGCAAACACACAAAGTCTTAACATAGCTCTTGACACGACTAAAGCTTTAGATACTCTTGTACATTGGTCTAAAACTTTCAGCCAATCTGCCAAACCCAGCCCTTTTGCTTACTTTCATTTGGCCCTTTGAAGCTCTCCTCAGACATAAGGATGCTCATTACTAGACTGCCTCCTACCTGAGCAGCACTAACTGCTGACCTGAGCCACACTTTCAAAGGCATCACTCCTTAGCTAGAAGGCTGCCCAGTGTCGGTCTACTAGCTATCTGAGAAGGGCTTTGAAGATATGAGAAACGTCAGCTGACTTGTTCTGAACATCCATCTGTGAAGACTCAGATCAGCTACTCAATCCATGTTTTCAGTGGCTTCTCTTTCTTTACTTATGTCTGGCCTACAACTGATTTTTTTCTGAGTTAATGGCCCATGGGGAGTGGGGGGGACAGTTCCCCAGGCCTGGTCTAGATATGAAGGAGATCTCTATCTCTTGACTGGCAATTAAACTTTGTGATGATGTACTTAAATAGGAAATTATAGCTTTAAAAACATTTTGTATAACTCTAAGACTTTATTATTGCCTGTTCCTCTACAGCAGCCTTTTTGCCCATGGGGAGCTGTTCTCAGAAACTAACCAAGCAGCATATTCCCATGCTAGCCTAGAACCCATGCCAGTAGCATAATGGCCCTTTCCCAGGAAGGGAAGCAACATGCCATTCTATTTGCATTTTTACTTAATGCATAACTGGGTGAACGAACCAGCGGAATAGGAAAATGCAAAACCAGTAAAGAAATAAAAACGTAATAAATGTAAGTAGTAAAAAAGCATGAAATGGTAACTCAGTTATCAAGGAATAGGCTGTACATTTCTTGCACCTTGAACTTTTTTTTTAGGAAATCACTGCATGGGAGCTTAGGCCTATTAGACATGCCTAGTCAGAAGAAATTTTAGTTGATTAAAATGGATTACTCTGAAGTAAGCTAGCAGAGGATTACAGCCTTAAATGCAATAAAAATAAACAAAAATAGCACAGAAGAGTCTATGCTGTTTAACACCAATAACCAATGGGTGCCTGTGGTATTTGAGCGGCAATAACCCTAATGGCAGTCACAATAACAAGGAACTTAATGTAAGGGAAAGAAGTGGATTTCCCCAGATACAGAACACAGCACATCCAAAGCTGAGAAAATAAAACAGAATTCCTGCAACCTATGCATAATTGCAAGGAAATGTGAGACAAGGGTTAGGGTAACAACTGCACAAGCCACAAATCCTGCAAGACGAAAATAGAACCTATTGCACTGGCTTATTGTAAGGACAAATAAGAACGATCAAGGACTTCATACGTGGAAGCACCAAGGGTGCAATGCTATGCACGTTTAGAAAAGAAAAGTCTCCCAGCTGGAGAATGCTGGGAATTGTAACATTTTAATCATGCAAAAGAATTATGCCTTAAATCTTAAAATATTATTTTAACAATGCCACAATTCCAGATGAATATTTTGTTCTATTTTGTTGTGTTTATGTTACAAATAAATGCTTGCTAACCAAATAAATGGCCTAGTGAACACTCAACAGTAGAATTCAACAACTGAAAACTAACCTCATTTTCAGGACGTCTTTCACCATCCAGAAGTTTTAAAATTTCTGCACATTCCATAGAAATTTTTATGTATCCCTCTACAACATCATACTGTTCTGCTGATGGTAATGACTTAGCTGTGGATATAAATGTTTCCAGACCTGAAACAAAAACAAAGGCTTGTTTCTTCATCAAATTATTAGCCTTTTCACATTAACAAATTATATTTGGCAAATTAGCTCCTTAACAGGTTTTATTCATACACTGGTTTACATCTCTGACTCCCAAGTTAAACACCACCTGGTTTATCTATGAATGATCTGACATTTGATCTTGGATCCTGATTCAACATCTGTCCTACAGACTCCCCTCCCCTTTGCTGCCCTTAATAACTAACCAATAAAAGCCTGAGATGTGACTGGAACACAAGCAAAGATTGACAAAAAAATACCAGAATTGTAACACAGAGTGGAAAGCAGATTTGATACAGCCCGCTATAATATATGAACAATGCATAACCATGTCCTACAGTAACATGTCACTGTTCCAGCAGTCTGTATTACCTAGAATTGTAGAATAGTACAGTTGGAAGGGGCTAGAACAGTAGTGGCAAACCTATGGCATGCATGCTGCAGCAGGCACACAGAGCCCTCTCTGTCGGCACGTAAGCCAGTCGCCCCAGGATCGCCCCAACATCCAAGCATCAGGTAACAGCGCAGATAGAGGCCATGCGCATGCTTGGAAAGGAGTAGTGGTGCCAGGTGGTGATGCCACAAGCCGCAACTCATTAGCTGCAGCTCGCCCGAGCTTTCACATGGCCGGTCAGTGTGCTGCCAAGGATATATATGTATAATTGCTTGGACTGGTTGTGAGTTGTTTTTTCTAAACTAAAACCTCAGTATTCAGGTTTTATTGCAGTGCTAGCACTTTGCAATAAAAAAGTGGGTTATGGGTTGCAGTTTGGGCACTCGGTCTCTAAAAGGTTTGCCATCACTGGGTTAGAAAGTCATGAGGTCCAACACCCTGCTCAGTGCAGGACTTCAAGTTAAACCATCCCTCTCAGATAATTGAGAAGAGATCCTGTTCTTTCCTCTTTGTGACAGCCTTTCAAGTACTTGCAGAGGGCTATCATATCTCCTTCCATCTTCTGTTCTCAAGAATAAACATGCCCAGTTCTTTCAATCTCTCCTCATAGGACTTTGTTTCCAGTCCCTGGATCATCCATGTTGCCCTCCTCTGAACCCTTTCCAGTTTGCCTGCATCTTTCTTAAACTGTGGTACCCAGAACTGGACATAGTACTTCAGATGTGGCCAGTGCTGAATAAAGAGAAGTATATTCATAGGATTTGGAAGTGATAATTCTATCAATGCAGCCTAAAATAGCATGTGCCCTTTTTGCAGCCATGTCACATCACAGTTTGTGATGTATAACAATTCCAAGATCTTTCTCACTTGCAATATTGTTGAACTAAGTATTCCCCATCTTGTAATTATGCACTTGGTTTCTTTTTCCTAGGTGCAGAACTTGCAGAACAAAATTTCATTCTGTTGCTTTTTGCCCAGTGTTCCAACCTATCAAGATCACCTTAAATCTTCTTTCTGACATCCAGGGTATTATCTATCCCACCCAGTTTTGTGTCATCCACAAATCTGATAATTGTTCCCTGTACTTCTTCATTCAGATGTTAATAAAAATGTTGAAGGGCACTGTGCCCAGGGCTGAACCCTGCAGCTCCCCACTTGGAAAAAGTGCCAATGATGAGCACTCTTTGAGTCCAATTCTGGAGCACTCTGACAGGTAGGCTGGAGAGAATCTTTTCAGCTTGCATTCAGCTTGAGCATGAAGGAGCAGTTAAAAGTTCTTCATGCTGTATGTCATTTGCCTTGTATACTGAGCAATTTAAATAGTAAGGGGACAGAGCAGTATTCAGTTACACAAATCAGCAATACAACTGCACTGTAGTGTATTGGCTATACTTTTGGGATTCAGAAGGTCCAGGTTCTAATCCCCACTCAGCTATGAAGCTCCCCAGCTGATTTTGGGCCAGTCACTAACTCTCAGCCTAATCCACTTCACAGGTTTTTTTTTTCCCTGAGGATAAACATGAAAAGGGGGAATTACCTAAATTGCCTTGGGTTCCTTGAAGGGAAAAAGTCAGGTTATAACCTGCAGGGATGGAGAGCAATGACAGCCAGTTTGGGGCATCTTCCCCAGCCTAGTGCCCTCCCGGTGTTTTGGACTACAACTCCTATCTGCCTGGCTGGCCCAGTCAAACAAGGCTGGTTGGCCAGGACTCGACGAAGGGACCACAGGGTGGAATAAAAGGGAGGAGTGCTCAGAATCGATCAGATCTAGGAAGCACGTGGAAAAAGCAGGAGCGCTGTAGCTCATCTCACCCTTCATGGCGGTGCTGGGGTCGCGCAGCATGGACTTAAACTGGGCACCAGTGAACTCCGCTGCCTCGGTGGTGCGAGCCCGCTTAGGAGCAGGAGAAGGCTGCTGCTGCTTAGCTAAAGCCGGGTTTTTGCGCTTGGCACCCATGATCAGTGATCACCGTGCACGGCGAAGGAATCAAAGCCGAGCCGGCCGCGCCGCTGCAGCCTGTCTTACTACAGCCGGAAGCGGTCCGGCGCGCCTGCTCTCCCCTTCGGAAACTGCAAAGCGACCGACGTTCCTAGGAAAAACGGAGTAACACGCGGTTCAGAGGAGTAAAAAGTTACAGAGTCGGAGCCCCAGAAAATATCTTCCTTCCTTTAATGCCCGCCATATGCCGACCTCAGCAACACGCCCCGCACACACGCTGCTTCATGCCTGTGCTTCCTGGTATCGCAGGAACGAGAATTAATTCTCGGCTGCCCGTTGGAAGTTTTTCCCATATTCGGTTCCCATGGGTTTGTAGCGCTTCTTCTTAAGCCTGCAACGGAACTTGGTTTGCACCCAACGTTCTTATACCTTAAGTCCAATTCATTCATGGGCCTGCACTATGTAGGAACAACACTGGCTGTAGTCCCTTGTTTGTGAGTCGTCTCATTGAAGCTGATAGGAGCCAAAAGTTTGACTCGGTGACTGATCGGAGCCCTTTACTCTTCATGGGAACTGTAAATGGAAGGAACCGTAAATGCACCCTCTTCATAGGAACATACTAACGAGTGTTAACACGTATTTCTTCCAAATACACAAAATCACGCCCCTACGTTGCACATTTATTAATGCTGGACAACCAAGGCATGCGGGCAAGGTGGCAACCGTAGAACACATTTCTATCAAAAGATACACACTCTTTTCTTACTACGAAAAATCCTCTAAGAACGGGGAAAAGAGAATAGCTGTATGATGCCTTTTAATTGGTAGTTCAGGAGTCATCTGCCTGAAAGCACCAATGTCAAATTCATGACAAGTTGAGAGCAATCCTATGGCCCTTAGACAGTGTCAGAGAGATTATAAAATATTGGAGTCCCGTCCCCACTATTTCAAAGCCAAAGATAGCACTTTGACTTTGGGACAGGGATCAGAAATTGGGCCCTCTTCCTCTGCTCCTCACAGCTGGCATAGATGGAACTAGGTACATCAGATGCTCTCCAGGGTCAAAAACCCAACCTTGGAGAGAGGAAAAAGAGGGCATTTCTGTAGGCAAGGAGGGAAAAAGACTAGAGAGACCATGAAAGAGCTATCCTGAGCTATCCTCCTTCCTTTCCAAATCATGGTCTAGCAAAAAATACAGTTGGATGTTGACCGGATGTTTTGATTATACCTTCCACCACCTCGCCAATAGCTATGTAGGAGCAGATGGGAGCTGTAGGACACAGGCTGGAGGAAAGACTGTATGAACATGCATCATATTGATACTTCAATTAAGTGGGAAAAGTCTCTGGAGAACTTTTTTTTTTTAAATTAGCCTGCTATTCAAAAATTGCAAGGTGTTAATTTTGTATTCTGAATCCTACTTAATTTTTTTAAAAATCCTGATGTTTACCAGAGTTGATTTAATTAAACTTATTGCTAGGAACTTTGTTTCCCATCACTATTACAAATAGGAGTATATCAATTTTCCCCCTTTTATGAATTCAAAGCTCTAAATTTTTTGCTCATTCAAACAGGCAGGGTCTGCTTCATGCATGCAGAAAGAAAACATTTCAGCTTGGGACATGTAAATGAAAAATAGAATTTGTACAGCTTTTATTAACAGAACCGGAATAGATAAGAAAAAGTCACAATTAGATTGTGTACAAAAGTATGCAATTAGATTGCTGTATTCCTTCCCATTTCCATAGAAACAGAGACAGAGTCTGCAAACATTGGATGTCTCCTTTTAAATAAGGACCATATAGTGATTATTTTAAGTGATTTGCTTTGTTTCAACTGGTCTAACAGTCATTTCCATAGAAACAGAAGCAGAAAAGTTTTTGTAGATTCCCCTTGGTGTCAAAATGCAGGAAATAAAGCACTTTAAAATGTTCTAACTGGTGAGAAAGACTTTTTCCTTCTCTTCTAATTGGATTCAGACAAAGAGAAATTTATCAGACCAAGAAAAAAGCTGAGTGATTTAAAAATACTGGAGGCGCCCTAGCACTCTTAGAAAAGAAATGAAACAGAGACCACCACAAATTTTACAATGCTGTTACTATGATCGCATATCCAGATGTGAATTTGTTTTTAATAAACTAGTGTAGACTAACACTCTCACATCCCTCTTATTTTCCTAACAATGGCCTTCTTAAAAAAAAAAACTGGTATAACTGAATTTGGACTTACATAGAGCATAGCATGACTTGAGTTTTAAACTGGAGGATGGAGAATAATTGAGATAAAATCTAGATATAATACGAACATGTTATCTCCTTTTTTATTCTTTATCTTTAGCAGGATTAATAGCCTTATCTGTTTATAATAGAGTCTGCAGGCCAAATCGTAACATAACAAGAAACAAAAACAATGTGAAATTCACTAATAATAAACACAACAAAAGAAATATAAAAGAACACAAAACATACATCACAGAGATTAAGGGTATAATCCTATGCAAGTTTAGATGTGCACCTTAAAAATAACATTAATGTTAGTACAAATTGAAATACCCAAGAAACTAATAAATTCTTCTCCATGTAAAAATGACTATAACTAGGCTCTTCTTGCCTCATCTTTTATACAATTACACTATGGCAATAGTGTATGGACTTCTGGCTATAAACACAGTTTAAATATCCTTCATACTAATCATCCCTAGCACAAAATTCCAAATACAAAAAGCAACTTCCCTAAACCTGGTGGCCTCCAAAGGCGCTAGATTACAATTCCCAGCACCTCCCAATCAGCCATTGTTTCTAATCAAATTTTAACGTGAGTTTCAAAATATCAAAAGAAAGTTAAATAAACAAACAAACAAACAAGACATTACAGATTTTTTTACATGAAATTTGAGTGAATTTATTACAGTGGGTGCATATATATGAGGTACCCCTTCATATTTTATGTATAGCAAAATATGTTTATCAGAAACAGTTATGCATCATTTGCAACAAGGAAACTCAGGTATCCAGGCATAATTTTCACCAGGTCTTCTGCATCTTGTGTAACTGAAGCTGGCCATTTCTCCTTCCAGTGCTGTTATATTAGGCGGCGGCGGTGGTGGCGGCGGGGGGGGGGGTAGCTGTCAAAAGGGAGCAGAAAATCCATTTACACTAACCTTGCATTAAGTTCCAGAAGGCAGGTTGATAGTTTAGAATAGCATGAATATGTATAAATATTAAAGAACTTTCCATGAAAAAGTGCATCTTTATAAATACATAAAAAAGGAGTAGCCATTGGGCATGGCCAAAATATTTGAATAAGAGAAGTGTTTGCTGTATTACGGCTCCAACAATTAGGCTATTTAGATAAATCCTACAGATAAAGATGCTGTAGCCAAAACATCAGTTTTTGATTAATTAAATGTAATCTAGAATCTATTATCTGTTCTGAGTTAGATGTCAGATGGACTGGGGGACCCAGGGGATCCATGTTCGATTCCCCACTTGGCCATGAAGCTCACTGGATGACCAGTCAGGGACTCTCAGCTTAACTTATCTCAGAGGGTTGTTGTTGTTGCTGTGAGGATAAAAATGGAACTATGTGAGCCACACTGGGCTCCTCACAAGAAGGAAAAAGGCAGGATTTAAAAGTGATGTAATAAAAATTAGGTCAAATAGGATACTCCAATTCATTGTTCCATTCTTATTTAAGACACTATTTATCATATTTATACACCAATAACTCATATTTATAAATGTGGATTGCGGGTTGCTGTAGCTGTTGTCCTCAATCAGTACTTAACAAAGGGGCTTATTATGCAGCAGGGCTGAACCTAGACATGTACAGATGGTTCAGTTGTGCATATCGCCATTCAGCTGTAGCTGGCAGATCATATTTAGCATACAAAGCAGAGAATGGAAGAAAGCTATCACTGGGACCTACAAACTGATCCAAAGTAAAAATCAGCCTATCAGTCCAAGTCCACCAAACATGCATTTTTGCTAGTCTTTAAATCTGGGTTTTCCCACAAAGTTAATTCTGCATAAAAAAATGAATCAAATGTAATTGACATGGAACTGTGCACCATACCTCCCATAATGCTATAACTGTAGGAGGTGCCCTTTCTGTTTTAATATAATTGAGAACCCAATAAGTCCATTTGGGTAGAGGATCCATGCATGAAAGTTCCAAAACTAAAGGGGGGGGGGGTTAATCTGAACAGAAAAGACCGAAACAAGTCAATAGATAGGGCCAATAATATAAAGAGAGCTCAAGAAAGCTAAATTTTCACTCTTTAGTTGTGCATCCTTTTCAAACATATCCACAGTGGCATGGAACCCATACAAATTTACAAAATAACGCATAAAGTTTGAAAATACTTACAAAGCAAAATTAAAGGAATACCACATAAAACATTTTGAGGTACTACATTCACGTTAAGTATATTTACCTTATCCCATCTATCAATGTCCCATAAAATCTCAATAATCAGCTTACACAAATTTAGTTTAATCGTTAGGCTATAGCTCTAGGAATAAGTATACCCAAGTAAGTACTAAAATCTAGGCAAAGTCTAAATCACTAGTTAGCTAGTACGCTTTGTGCCATATGCTGTCTCCAACTGACATCACTTCAGAAACTGACTATGAAACAGCTGGACAAACAGCTAAAATTAATAACTTTCTGCCTCAAAGTTCAGATACATGACTATCAAGATAATAACAGATCATGCACATAAAGAACAAACTTACATTTTAACATATGTGCATAGGATTGTGTCTTAGCCAGTCTGATTTCTTAGAAAAGAGGAACGAGTTGAACAAGACACCATACCAAGACGCTGAATTTTGGATTCTTGACAGTAGTCAGGACTCCAGTCTGGTTTTCCTTACACAGTGAAAATAAGAGCTTACCACCTTCCTTTCAAATGTGTCTTTATCAGTACATGTGCTTGGGAAGAATTAAAGCAATGGTTACTTTTCAGCCTCCTGCCAAAGTAGTACGAGAATGCTTGCACATTAAAAGAGGTGATTCTGTAAAACTGACTGCCAGTGCAATCCTATACATATTTACTCAAAAATCATACTGAGTTCAA